GTTGTTTTTTTGGTAGTGTTATGAATTCGGACTTTAACCAATCTTCCGGGATATCACCAGTCGAATAAACATCATTGAAAAGCTTGACCAGTATTCCAATGTTTTCCTCATTTATAAGCTTTAACGTCTCTGTCGGTATGTTATCAAGGCCAAGGGCTTGCTTGTTCTTTGCTAACTTCATAACATGCACATTTCTGATCTTTCGTATAATACTACAGAAGAAAAATGTGGACTTACAGCTTATCAATCCACAACGCTAAAACAGGAGCAGTCATAATGTATGTATGGGATGAAATCATCGCTGACGGCGAAACATGCAAAAGAGCATGTGAAAAAAGTTATAGTCTTTAGTGTTGTGTAAAGGGATGTGTTCGAGATTTTGGTTCAAATAAATTAAAGATCAACCACTGTGAGATATTTTCTAAACAACGCTTTATCCATTTCAGTACACACACTAAAAAAAGAACAAATTCCAAGTTGTTAATGTAACAAGGGAAATGGTTAAGGATTTTAGTATTATTAAAAGTGAAACTGGAACAAACCATGAAGTGGAGATATCCAGGAGCGGCTAGTATACCTGTTGAATACAAAGCACGTGGTGGTCGTGTGTATTAAGGTATAAAAAAATGCTTATTAAAAGCTTAAAACTTTTATTTTAAAGAAGATCTTTTCGGAATAAACTCATTCCATCATCAGTTTAATAAAAAGTTGTCAAAAAAACATTGTATGGCCACATGAAAATATAGTAGAGAACTCCGTATTAAAAAATTATCCTCAAGGTGTTTATGAAGGTAAATGCAATAGACTGTTGATTTGTAAATTACTAAAAACTGAAAATGGGGACATCTTACATGACCCCTGTAGTTGGTGAGGTTTTATTGACTTACATTACCTCTGATCTGTGCTGGAGTCTAGAGCTAACTGAGTTAGCCCTAGACTCCAGCTAACTGAGTCTTTATTTGGAATTTGAAATTCGTGCGTACTTAGTATCTGTTTTTCTATTATTAAAATCACTTTTATGATCTGCTATACGTTCGTTGAAAGTTCTACCAGTTTGACCAATGTAAGTTTTTCGGCAGTCGTCTCATCTGCGCTTGTATACCCCACACTGAAAGTGCTTTTTTTTAGTTCTTGTTGTTCTCAATATATTTGCTTGTGTTTATTGTGAAAACTGATGCAAAAGTAAAAACTGGTGGAATTGGTCAAAATGCATTAGGTTTTTTCTCTGGTGGTTGAAAGACTAATTTTCTTTCTCTCTGGTAATCAGTGTAATATGATATGATATGTGTTAAAATCTGCTTTCAGCTCTGACTAATAAAATTAATTGTTAAAGTAACAACGAAGCATTTGAGAAGGAAAACTTATGTTTATAAAAGCCGCTCTGCAACTGCGTAAGTCAATATTTAATTTAAATTTTAGCGTACTAACTACTACTTATCCATAAAGTTACTAATATCCGAGTAAGAGAAAAACATTACAAATATTGAAATGGTAGGTAATGTAAGTCAATAAAACCTCACCAACTACAGGGGGTCATGTAAGATGCCCCCATTTTCAGTTTTTAGTAATCTGCAGTCTGAAATCAACAGTCTATTGCATTTACCTTCATATACACCTTGAGGATAGTTTTTTAATACGGAGTTCTCTACTGTGTTTTCATGTGGTCATACAATGTTTTTTTGACAACTTTTTATTAAACCGATGATGGAATGAGTTTATTCCGAAAAGATCTTCTTTAAAATAAAAGTTTTAAGCTTTTAATAAGCATTTTTTTTACCTTAATACACACGACCACCAAGTGCTTTGATTTCACTATTCTTCAAAAAGCAGCAACTAAATCTCAAATTTTGGTAGATAACTCCGAGGATGGCAGAATATTAGAGTTGTCAAAAGATTTTAAGATGGGCTTTAAAATTCAAATCGCATATAACACAAACATTCCTATAAATGTCAGACTTCAAAAGGGACGAAAGAAACTTCACGATGTAATAAATTTTAACTTAGATAGTATAGAATATCCTTTCAAAAAGCAGGGTGCTCTCAAGCTTAGAGAAGAAAAGAAAAAGTACATACAAGATCTTTTTGATAATGTACCTATGCCTCATAAGATAAGCGTGCTTTACAAAAAACATTAGTGGAGGAGTTAGTACAACTGAAGTCGAAGAAACTGTAGACTGTGAAAATCAAATTGAGTTTAATTAATTGAAGCATTATTTGTGAATTTTTCAAATTATTTTACTTCGATTGGATTTCACATACTTTGTTAACATAACTAGGTTATTTTTGTAGAATAAAAAATATTAAACCCCTTTTCTTTTCATTTTATAAAAATCTTGGAAATTTTTGCAAAATCCTCTTTTAATAACGGTATACTTTTACGGGATTAAGCCACAATTGGTTGTAATTGTTGTAATACTTGACACACTTTCGAACGAGTTTCATCCAGAACGGGGTGTCAGGCAAGGATATATACTATCTCCACAATTATTCAACATATATGGGGAGTATATTATGTGAAGAACACTTGAAGGGTGGGAAAAGGGCATCTCAATAAATGGTCATAAACTAAAGAACCTACGTTTCGCAGATGACACAGCCCTTCTTGCAAATAGTCAAGCAGAGCTGATGGAACTTATACGACTGATCGAAAACGAAAGTCAAATATTTGGTCTGCAATTAAACATATCAAAGACAAAGATCATGATAGTGGATAGACTACACAACAATCATCCACACATAACCACAATTGACTGGTTCGAGGTTGTGAGCTCATACTTATATCTGGGATCATTAATCACAAACACAGGGTCATTACAAGAAGAGATTAAACGTAGATGTGATCTAGCAAAAGTTGCCACAACAAAAATGACCAAAATATGGAAGGACTGTCAAATTTCAAGAGCGATAAAGTTGAGGTTGATCAACTGCTTAATATTCCCAATACTGACCTACGGATGTGAATCTTGGACTCTGAGACAATCGGAGAGAAGAAAGATAGACGCCACTGAAATGTTCTGTTGGAGATGAATGTTACGAATTCCTTGGACCGACCGTAGAACAAATAATTCAATTTTAAGAGAGCTAAAAGTTAGCCAACGACTCTCTAGTAAAGTCCATCTCCAACAATTAAAATATTTTGGGCATGTTATGAGAGCAAACACAGAAAACATGGAAAGACTCATAATACAAGGAAAGGTAGAAGGCCGAAGATCACGAGGAAGATCCCCAACAAGATGGATAGATCAAATTACAGGAATATGCCAAAGACCTATGCATGAATTAAAAGAAATGACCAGAGACAGAGATCTCTGGAGACGGACAATACACGACATCACGTCGACCACTACACTCCCCCTGGGGGGTCAGGATTGAAGAGAGAGAGAGGTTGTAATGGTAATTACATTAAAAAAAACTTTCTCTAAAAAAAAATGTAATTATCATTACAGCCAATTTTGGCTAAGTCCCATAAAACTATAGTTTTTTAATCATGCCACAAATTAATAACTTTAGAACCTATCCTCTTTTAAGTTTTATTAATACGTTAAACGTTTATAAACTTTATACTTAGTTTTCCAGAAAAGTGTTTTTTAGTCCTCCTTTACGCTTCCAAGCTCCTGAATTTTAAAACAGTTTGTGTAAAAAATTTTTATTATACATTGTGAATATAAAAGGAGTGTGCTTGTAATTCTTAAATCAACAAATATAATTCTCTAGCTTTTAACCCTTACGTCGGGAACCGCATATACGCGCAAAAGTTTTCTTGCCACAGATACGGGAGACGCATATATTCACTTACATCAAAATGTACTTTAGATCGGGAAACGTTCGTAATCGCTTTTAAATTTGCTTATTGTATACTATTTCTAACATGTCATCGCTTATTAAATTTCACAGAGCTGCGATGAACTGCGTGGGAGTTGGAGTGAAGTCAGTACATTTGGAAAAAATGTTAAGTCATTTGTTGACGATGGTGGTACGTGCAAATTTGCTTTTCAACCACGTTACCTTTATTTAAGTATTTTGAATTAAATTAATAATTTTTTTTAACAAATGGGTTCGAAAAAAAGATATCTGACTGAGAAGAGAAAAAAATTAAGTTAGTCGATGATGATGATGAGATTCAGTGGCGGAAAGACAGTGATGTATATAAACCAAAAACACATTCCTTTGCATCGTTTGCAGTAAAAAAAAAGTACGCAAAGAAACAATCTATTGTTTCCAACAGTGTGAGGTTCTTCTTTGTGTGGTACCTTGTTTTGAAAACTACCATAATAAAACAAATGTATTGGGTCTAAACTTCTGCTATTCTAATATAGAATTATATGTTTTAGTTTTTTGAATATTTTCTTTGATTTATATGCATTTTTATAAATAATTAGTAAAAAATTTATCTTCTGTACTTGTTTTTTCAATTTTACACTTACGAACTTGTTTACCACAAAAGTCGGGAAACGCATAAATGCGCGAAAGTGCTAAACGGGAAGCGCATTGAAGCGCAAGGCACAAAAACTCCCGTATCTGAGGCACGGCACGTCGAAAAACTGCCGTCTGAAGGTTAAACGCCCTATACATCCAAAATTTAAATTAATATTTTAAACCCTGTACGCTTTTTCCAGTTTAAATTATTTAAAAAATATAATAGGAAATAAATAATAAGCATAATTCCTGCTAGATTTGAGATAAATCGATAAAGACCTGAAGTACTTTTTAAAACGCTAACCCTGAAAAGTTCGTTTGTATCTGACTGTCGCTGCATCGTAATAGTAGTCATCCTTCTTCTAGTTACGGTCTGCCTGCCGCCGACCCGCCGAAACGCCGCGCAAGCCTCAAATCCACGCCGTCGACGTTACCCACTAGCCGACTCAGTGCAAGCCAGCCCTCCACCAAGCCCTCACCAATGTAACGGTCGCCGACGCTAAAAAACAACATTCCACGCGACGACGGAATGCCCAAATAATCAACAAGTATAAACGCGGACGTGCTTATTCCCTCCATAAAATATGGGACGATTTTCGTTATTTTACCTTCTAGCCGCTAGTGTTACCGTGGTGTGCGGATATTCTTGGCCAAGTGAAGAAACAACAACGCGAAGTTCGCAGTTTAAAGATTTTCATACGGATCCGTTGGTTGTTGAAACTACTAGCGGATTAGTGCGCGGTTACTCTAAAACGGTTTTGGGACGCGAAGTACACGTTTTTACGGGTATACCTTTTGCTAAACCTCCTGTCGACCAACTCAGGTTTAAGAGGCCGGTACCCATTGACCCCTGGCATGGAATTCTCGATGCAAATAAGTTACCAAACTCATGTTTCCAAGAAAGATATGAATATTTTCCGGGATTCGAGGGTGAGGAGATGTGGAATCCCAACACCAACATCTCGGAAGATTGCCTTTATTTAAATATCTGGGTTCCTCAACGCCTGCGCATACGACACCATAATGAAAAAAATGTTGAAAGGCCTAAAGTTCCTGTCTTAATTTGGATATATGGAGGCGGTTACATGAGTGGTACATCAACTTTGGATATATACGATGCTGATCTTATAGCATCAACTTGTGATGTAATTGTAGCCTCGATGCAATACCGTGTTGGCTCTTTCGGATTTCTTTACTTGAACAGATACTTTTCGCGAGGCAGTGAAGAAGCTCCCGGTAACATGGGTTTATGGGATCAGATTCTAGCCATACGTTGGATTAAAGAAAATGCTGCAGCATTTGGAGGTGATCCAGAACTGATAACTTTATTTGGAGAATCTGCAGGAGGTGGTTCTGTTAGTCTTCACCTCATTAGTCCTGTTACAAAAGGGCTAGCTAGAAGGGGTATTCTTCAATCAGGTACCATGAATGCTCCTTGGAGTTACATGACAGGAGAACGTGCAGAGGAAATCGGGAAAGTACTAATTCAAGACTGTGGTTGCAATGTTACCTTATTGGAAAGCAACCCTCACCAGGTGATGGATTGCATGAGGGCTGTTGACGCGAGAACCATATCTTTACAACAGTGGAATTCTTATTCGGGAATTTTGGGTTTCCCATCGACTCCGACCATTGATGGAATTCTAATGCCGAAACACCCAATGGATATGCTTGCAGAAGGAGATTATGAAGATATGGAGATATTACTTGGAAGTAACAGAGATGAAGGTAGGATTTAGTTGGTACTATATTATTTAATTCACAATTTATGATGTAATTAGATAAACAATAAGTTTGTTTTAAAAAATATACCACTAAGGGGATAAAATACAGTAGATATAAACTTATAATTTTGTTCCAGTTTCTTATCGATTTGTCCTATATAATTCGAAAATAACACTTATATTTTTTGTTTATTTGTCTCTATTTTGAAGCACATATTATATAAGTTCGTAAGAACAAATATAATATCTACCCTAAGATAGTTTTTGCTGGAAGTATTTTGTCGTGTTTTTTTTTATATTTTGATTCTTTTTTATTTTTAGTATTGTAAACTAATTTAATACGTTTACTGTATTTGTGCTTTTTTGATTTTAATAGTAACCTATCATTTTATTTTTTCATATTTTTGGTACTAATAATGAATTTTTAAAGTAAAGATATTAATAGATAATTTTAATCTTCCCAGTTTTGTTTGTTTATTTTAATTTTCCAAAATTGAAAAACAGACCATAATGGTCGATTACTTGAGCGGTTTTCTGATTGAAAATATTACAGTTATGTTCATATATGTAAAAGGAGGCATAACCACATTAAAAGTGTCAAATTAATTGTTTAATAAAATGTTTACAAATAAATTATAATTGTTAGAAATTAAAATTTTATCGATACGCACAAATTGAGACTTTAAATAATAATTATAATCCAAAGATACAAAAAAACATGCCAAATAAAAAAAAATTGTAACTAAAACAATAATATTATTCTGAAACTACTCTCTTGTGGCACCTTAAAACAATTCATATATTTTTTTTGTCAATAAGTCACAATATAAGTTTAAAATAAGTTTAGTTTTGATTTTTTGATTTCCACTTCGGAAATCGTTCTCAAAATCTAGACTTTATTGAATTAGACAAATTTTGTTTTTTGTTATATGGTGAACAATTCTGCTAATACTTTAATTTTATTTGACTCATTAATATTGACAATTTAGACATATCGTCGGTATACTGCGAAACCCATGTAAATGTCGGAATACCGAAATCGAGAAAACATGTTTTTAAAGTTTAGTTTTTTATTGTGAATTAAGCAGTCAGCTTGTTTTTGATATTAGGTATTTTGGCGAATGAATTTAGTGTCCGCAGTCATTTAAACATAAACAAACAACAACAATATTAGGTTTTCTAGTGAAAGATGCATATATCTGACATGATATTCTATCATTAGTTTGAAAAAGTGAGACACCTCTGACTAATCCTAAATTTAAGTTGGAAATGCTATCACTTACCTGGTTTTACCTGTAAATCTAAATAAATCAGTTACTCTTAAAATAACATATTTAACACAAATATAATAAACCGTTATAAGATTATCCAGTTTTTTAATCGAGATATAAGGCTTTTACTAGGTAATAGCAATGTTTTAAGGTATTAGTCGATATTTATGACCTTTAACTGGTTCTCCCTGAAAACATTATTAACAGCATTTTGTAGATATAGTTATTATTTATATGAATGATAGGCAGTTTTATAGAAAAAAAAATTTATTTATAATTTTTAATATTATTAAAAATATTATTATTATAAGGCTTATACCACCTGTGATATTGCTCCGGTGTCACTCCATTGTCACAAAGCTGTACCAAATCTCTCTTTTTTGCTATGCTAATTGGCAAATGTGCATCATAAAGTCGCTAAGTTCTTTAAGATTGCTTTTATTAGTTGATAACTTAACGCACTTTTTTCTTGTTGACTGCCGTGCAGTATCAGTAAGGAAATAATTGAAGTTTATTGACATATCATAATTAAAATAGATTCTGTTTGTCTCTCATTTCACGAATCTGATTCTTTTTATCTTCAACCACATTATTTTTTCGCCGTTTTGGTCTTTTGTCCGATTTTTAATTAAAGTGTGTGACACATTTTTAAAATCAAAAAAGTCGTAGTATTTAAATTACTTACATTTGTATGGTTCTATACATACTTTTTTATTATCAAACTTGATATTTTAGTTCTCTTGCATTTTAAAAAACAGACAAGTAATCTGTCATCCCATAGATATATCTGTGTTTTTAGCGGTTTCTATACTACTATGCATAGAGTCAACTTCCATATAGAAATGTCCAGACTCTAAAAATTTGTGTTCAATAATATTTAAATAGTCTATGTTTTGAACAGCCCATGATAGTAAAGCTGCATTATGTTGATTACGATTCTGTCCTCCGCAGGTATCAGAAAATAAACCTATTTCACTTACATATTCTGGAACACATTTCGATGAGTAGTGGAATATTCATGCTTCCTATTTCAAAACTTCCTCGTCTACCATTAATTTCTGACGAGGCAAAACAGTAAGCTGCATTTGGTAATGCGGTTTCATATACAAACAAATTGTAGACGCATACTTTTCGAAAATAATATAGTTAGTCCAGTCAAATCCACTTGGAATCTGTAGTACGGCCTGTAGATCGAAAGTAACTAAAACAAAATCTCGTTGTTCATTAGATCTTTTCTTATCATTTTGTATTTTAAGATTACATAGTTACTTCTTTTTTTTGAAACCCTATCATATATATTACAAACTAAACATTGATCTTTTTTAGGAACAAAAAAGCTTAAATTATAGTCGTTAGAAAATAATCTTCGATATGTAATTTCGCGCCAACATCTTCCAGTTTCTTCTGCTCACAGTCATTTATATAAAATTGGTACATTTTCCTTATACTTAAATTTTTGTCCAAATATCTACGCTTTAAACTTTGGCGAATATAATGTGAGCCCATGGTTGAAATAAACTCAATATTAGCCTTCACGATTTTTCGGGTTTCACTGCTTGTTTTATTTGGCGATATATGCTTGTCTCTTTTATTTGTATTTGCATAACAGCCTATATTATCAGTTTTTCTTAAAACATCTTTTATTAATGACGCTGATTTACAAAGTGTCTTACAAAAAAACTTCTCACATACCTGTATGTCTTGACCATTCAAAGAAAAGTACCACTTTTTGGAAAATGCACGTAGTTTTGATAAACTTCAACTCGATAAACCTCGATGCAATGACTCTCTTTGGCGACTTCGTTTTAATACGTGCAATAAAACAAATTTCTGGCCTATATATTCTAACTTCCAATAATAACGAAATATTCTTTGTAATCTTCGCCAAAATAACTAACACATTTGTAAAAGCACTCAGAACAATTAATTGGTTTTAGCAATTTGCTGGTTTTTTTTATCTCATAAAACAAACCCTCAACACGCCTTCTTTTTGCAACAATTATTATCCAATCTTTGGAGTTAGCTTTTCTCCAACATTTTAGTGGACTTACGTCTTTCCATATTTTGTCAAGAAGTAGATTTAATATCCAACTAGATATTTCAGTTGACACTAAATTATTCGTGGGTGCCCTATTTCATATAGACTTCCAAGGGAGAGTGATCCCTTTTTCACTAGTCACTATAAAAAATGGGTTCCATCATTGAGACTATATTTTCTGAGAATCATCAAAATCTGAACTGCGGTCTTCAGTTTTAAAGGACTCTGAAGAAAACAAGATATTGCACAACAAATAACTAATTAATACCTATTAACAGAGTATTTCAAAACTTTTTTCCTGCGCTGTTGTCAGATCAAAAGATAGGGAAGATAATATGCAATTTTGTTAGTTGGAACCTTGTCATTTTAACCTAACGATATGTTGTACCATTTTGTTTTATCATGAAGTGTATTTGTACTCTATTTTCAAAGATATATAAGCAAAACAAGAATATCTACAATTAAAATAAAAATTAAGCTTTCAACTAACACCTAGTTAGAAATAATAACTTACTAATCTACTCAGAATCACTGTTATCACTAGTATCAGTTGTATCTTCTAAATTTATAATTAATTTGGTTATAGCTGGTAAATATTTAGTCATTTTCCACTGCGATAACATGTTTGACTTCTTTTTTCAGTTAGTTACTGTGATCTTTGTGACTTATCTTCTAGTTAACTGGAGAGAAGAGTAGACAAAAATTTAAAAGCCACGTTTCTTCTTCTTCTATTTCCTTCAAGTTGAGTCCATATTAACTCTTTTGGGTTCAATTAACAATAGTACGGAGTAAGTCCAAGCACGGTATGCCCATTACTATGAGTACAGTTTTCAACAACATATTCCTTCTGTTACTGTGTCTACTATAAACCACCTCCAACTATAGCTTTTTAGTTTATAATGCCTCAAAGTACAATCTCTCAAATAAAAATTCTTGAATTTGTTTCAAGTAATATTTGGAATTTTCTCATTAATCTTGAATGACATGATACGTTGTCCATGATAATCACACTATATTTAGGTAATCTCGGAAGAAGAGCTTTTTCAAACCATGATTTAAAAATTAAACTTTTCATAGCCTCATGATAATCTAAAGATGCGTCTTTAATTTTTTTTTGCACACATTAATAATACATCATCGATCCATCTATTTTCTCCACCGCAGTGTAAAATTATAATTCTCTGCCCTGTCGTGAGTATCATACCAGGTCTCATCTAAATAAACAACATTTCGTTTCATTTTTTGATACTCAGTTATCTATATAATAGTATCTATCTGATAGAAATGTTTCTTAAAGAAATAATTATTCTAGTTCTTTCCATTAGTGTTTGGCGCTTGTCTATAGTTTTTTATTTAAAATTATGGGTTTTAAGAAATCATCAAAGTGTTGTTACTGAGTATAAGAAAATATCCTTTCGAAACAGTTCACTTCGAAGGCTTTCAATAGTTGGAAAAATATTAGACGCATCCATTTTGTATATTGTTCTGATTATGTTCCTTTAAGTGCGGTTCTATTTGTGTGAATTTCCACAATCCTTTCTCATCTGTCTAGAAAAAGATGTTGCTCCTATAATCTTGTAGCAAGTTGCTTTCGACACTCTGATAAACATGTTTCTACCAATTGCTTCTGATTTGCACAATTAGAACACAATCTTTTATAAACATGCTTTAGCATATATTTGGGATCTTCAAAGAGGTATTTAAAA